AACTGTTGTTTGATAAAAATTAATTTTAGAGTTTTAAATAAACATATTGTTACAGATTCCGTGGGTCCACTAATTTAAACTCACGATAAAATACTTAACGAATTTATTTTTCTCTTAATTTACACACAATTTACCACTTATAACCTGTGTTATAACACACAACTAACTATTTATAAAATTCCTTCACCAAATTGTCCGATTCGTAATAATTTAAAACGCGGTATATTCAAACTTCAAAACTGTCCAACTGCTAAGCGCGGGCTTTATATACTCTCTGGCAAGTGTTTCTGGAACGTTCTAAAGAATTCTGTAATATTCTTTTACTTTCTTGCGAATGTGCCATTTTTCTTGACACGTTGCGGTAAGGTAGGCAACCAGTAATACAGTTTAGCGCCACATACACCTTGACAATATTTATTTATAGTTGTTTTCTTTATAAGCAAATAGTAGTATTCTTAGTCTTTTACTTTCTATTTACTCTAGAAGAGATGGTTTTAAGTCCAAAAATTCATCTCTAACATATTCAATTAAAGCAACAATAGCAGATAAATCTTCTGTGCTTAATACCAACAAACAATAATAATATGCCTTTTCAATGACAGCGATATTACAAAAACAATAACCACTATCATAGGGGTGATGATGAGGACCAAAGCAAAGACATATTTTCTTTTTTTCTTTGAAAGTGGTTTTTCAATTCCTGGCATTATTAGAACATTCCACAGGATGTATCTGTTTTATCTGCAGAATATGCTGCCGAAGTTTCCGGAATACAGTTAGGACCACCCTGTATAATAAAAGCTTATAAAAATAACTACCAACTACAAAATTATCATTAAAATTGTTGTCTTCATTTTCCAAGATATGTTTAAATATATTGTACCTACTTCGTTTTCAATTTCCCCAAAGTAATAAAACACATATAACAACACATTTATATTTATTCTGATTTAACGCTTTATTTTTCATTACATTACAAAAAATATCTCTTAAAAGCTAAAAATTTTCAACGCTAAACTAATCTGTTAACTATTTATATTGTACTATAATATAAGAAAATACAGCTGAAAATAAGCAATAATACTTCAGATTTTATTTTGATGAAAGGTACTTACAAATGGACCCAAAATACATTTTAATACACTTCTATAATCTAATTTTGATTTAACTTTTAACTATTATAATTATATACAGGGTGTTCTAAAAAGCATAAATATGCCATTTCTCGTTGAGAGATTCCTGTCAGGTAAAAATTAGATTTATTTTTTAAGCTATATATTTTACTGCTAAAAAAGTGGAGCTAGATTCACCAGAGACGTGCATATGACGTATCACTAGAATATTTTTCTAAAAAAAGGCATGTACGCCACTGACTTTTTTCTCTTGTTGGCACAATTGTGTAGGCTGTTTAATGTCGATTAAAAGTTGTCTCTTGATATTTTGTCGATTTTGATCTCCTTGATGAGTTAAACGCAATCTTATTTATCTGCCCTAATACAAATCTAATTGCAACCTTTAAAATTAAGATTATTGCTAAATAAGTACGCAATGATTCCTCATCAAAAAATGTGAAAAAACGTTCCTCTAAATATGGGTGCGGAAATGCATAAGTAGTTTTAAAGATACAGTATGTTAAAACTTAAAAAAAGGTCTTTTGTAATTATCACAAAAATACCTTTTTTCAATCGTCACAGAAGTATTAATTTTTGCGACGTGATTGACAATATAAAAAAGTAATTTTAACGCCTAGGTATAAAAGTAAAGAACTTTTAGGCCTAAGCATAAGTACGAAAATATATTATTAAACTGGTACAAAGTGTCAAATTCAACGAGCGTAACCATAGTTTCTTGATATATAATTACATGTAAGGTATGTGTTTTAAATATTTTTATATTATTTGAAACGTTTGAAATTGTTTAAAAATGATTTGTGGCTAGGTTGTAAGGATTATTTTTTTCTAAGGATTTCTATTCGGAGTAAAAATGAGTGTTTGTGCCTCGGCTCTATGTCAAACGTCCAGCCTCGTCGCAAAAAGTGTCATTTTTACTCCTAATAAAACAATATACTATTATTTTGTTTTTGATGTACATCAGCGTTATAAAATTTTAATTGAATTTAAAAATAAATTATATAAAATATATAATTTATTTTTTTATTAATTGAAATTAATACTATTATTACGTTAATCACATCAAGATCAAAATCGAAAAATATCAAAATACAACTTTTAATCTTCACTAAACGGATAGACAATTTTACTAACAAGACAAAAAAAAGGCAGTGGCGTACATGCTTTTTTTAGAAAATGATTCCAGTAATTGCCCATGTTATGCATGTCCCTGGTGAATCTGTCGACACTTTTTTAGCATTGAATTATCAGAATTATCATATTATTATTAGAAGTAACTTTCAACCTCAAAATATCATTAGAATCGCTAAAGGCACTTTTTTGGAAAGAAATTATAATAAACAAAAAAAAAAGACTTGAACCCATATAGCTACGAAACAAACCAGAAACGGACTTTTATGCTGATATAAAAAATAAATCAAATTTTTGAAACACAAAGTGTTGCCAAAAGCAAACAAAATAAAATAAAATTCTCTGAGAAAATATTCGTTAAACTTAGAATAAACCCTGTCCGGTCAAAGAAGTGACAAAGTCGACAGACAAAATACAGAAATTGACAAAACAAAATATTTACTTCTGAGGTAAAATAATAGTCAACTTTAGCCATTTTAAAGTTTTTGATGGAACACCCTGTACAATCGAGTCAGACCTATTTCTTGAATCGCTTTATTCGAATATTGATTCAAGCTAGGTGAAAAACTTCTAAAAATAAAAATAAGAAATTTATAGAATAAAGGATCTATCAATACACTAAGCTATAATTTAAAATATCAGTCATCGTTTTGTAGTTTGTGTCTTATTCAATTTTTTCTTTGGCATTATGCATTTTTATAGTAATGAGCTTTTTTAAAATACTGCGTCTTCTTTGATAATACTAGAGAGTAAAATTTCAAATTACGTTACAATGTTTAGGTAACTATTTATAAAGTTAGTTAACACAGCCTGACATATCCTGCTACAACATTTAATATCAGATTATTATAAACTAAGAAATAGGGATGTGTAAATATATCGATGTATCAAAATGATTCGATATTTTTGTCTATACTTTTGTAACAATATACCTACAGGACTTTCTACACATCTAGTTTATTTATTTATTTCATACTGTTTCGTTAAATTCACCTTTGTACAGGGTGTTTCCCAAAAGGGGCTCACCCCTATAAGTTTTTAATTTTTTCAGACAAAAAAAACGAGATTTGTATATTAGTATATGACATAAATTAAGATTGATTGACGTATTCAATTGTTTTCAGTCACTTTCTGTTTCGCCGGAAATGACTACAACTTTTGATTTTTGAATGAAACAGCATCGGTATTATTTTACTCATTTTTATAGAAAATGACAGTCTGAATAGAATGACATATCATATATCAAGTTTTGAAATTTAAATTTCAGTTTGTAGTGTCCTGGCTATAAACGTAACGACAATTTGACTCGAAATACCAAGTGTGTGGTACCAAATTATTCATAAGAACGCTTTTTTCCAAATATGCTAGTGAGCCACCATGAGTCCATTTAAAAAAAATGAGTTATGATGAAAAATACGATTTGGGCATCTTTTAACAAGACACGAAAATCATTAGACGATCAAATTTACTTTTCCAAGGCTCCTTGATTAAAAATCATTTTTTTTTAGTACCAGCCATGGACTCTAGATTCAAATTTAAAATACATGTTTTTTAAGCGAGAACAGGGGCGGATACAGGAATTTATTTTAGGGGGGGGGCCCAAAATAAAAAGCAATGTAGAATACGCTTTTTAGGGCGCCATTTTTATCCCAAAAGCCTAATATTTTACACAATTTACAGATTTTTGGGGGGCCCGGGCCCATGGACCCCCCTCTGTATCCGCCACTTAGCGAGAATATCAAAAGTTGACATATGTCATCTTATTCACAGAGTGTCTGTTTTTTTTTATAGAATAAAAGTCTAAGAAAATAGGCTTTCAAATACGAAGTTTTTTTTCTAAAAACGAATTGTAAAAGATTTATTTAAATTCACCCCCGAGAACGGGTGAAATAAATAATTAAATTTATTTTTTCAAAATTCCGGAGAACGATAAGGAGTAGAAAAAAATTGTTCAAATAAAAGTTGTAGAGCGTCCAATTTTACATAAAAATGGTTACCATACTTCTTTTGCTCAAATCAAGATTAACCGAGATAGGGTGGCTAGAAGCTAGGGGACAGCTTTTATTAAAATACTTTTTCCTAACTCTTAAGTCCTTACCGCTTCTCTAAAATTTAAAAAAAAAACACTTTATTTATATTTTTCACCCCTTCTCGGGGTGAATTTAAAAAAAATTATTGAAATTTATAATTTTCCAAACAAATTGAATAAAAATGTTAAATATATGAATTTTTCAGCAACTTATAATTTTTTTTTAATTTCTACTTTCATCCCCTAGTTTCTAGATACCCTATCTCGGTTAATTTTGATCTGAGCAAAAAAAGTATAGAGCTCTCATTTTTATATAAAATTGGACGCTTCACAAATTTTATTTGAACTTTTTTTCTACTCCTTACCGTCCTTATCGTTTCTCCAAAATTTCGAAAAAATAATTTTATATATTTGTTTCACCCCTTCTCAGAGGTGAATTTAAAAAAACTTTCTCAATTCGTTTTTAGATCTTTCAAAGTAGGTAACTTATATCAAAAACTCAAGTTTTTACCAAAACTTCGTATTTAAAAGCCTATTTTCTAGGACTATAAATTAAAAAAATACCAAGAGTGCCATTTAAAAAGCAAAAGTTGTAGTATTTCCGGTGAAACAGGAAGTGACCGAAAACAACTGAATACGTCAATCAATCCTGATTTATGTCATATACTAACATACCAAATCTCGTTTTTTTATCTGAAAAAATAAAAAAGTTATAGGGGGTGAGCCACTTTTGAGACACACCCGGTATTTCGTATTCTGAAAAAATAAAAATTTTGTATTGTGTTTATACTGTTAATATTTATTTTAACAGTATAAAATTACTGCCAAAGAGTATAAAATAAACCATTGTATCTACGTCATTCGTACGCAATTAACTTTTACAATATTCTTTTCCAAATTCTGAAAATAAACATCCCACTCATACTATAAAATTTAATTTACCAAACTTATAACGCAAATACCTATTTGAGTGTTTCCCCCAAGTAAAACGTACTTCCAAGGTAAAATGATACATCGACATATTATTTTAAATAGCGTTACTAAAATATCGAACTTTTTTAAATATCAACATCCCTACTAAAAAAATAAATACGCTATCTGACATATCCCTCGGCGACAGAGCGTCTCCAAATCGATTTTGGAGCCTCCAGTGACGTAACTCTTTTCCAAAGCGCCCTTAGTTCACTCTCAGTCAAATCGGGCCTTCCTAACAAAAAATCCTTCCTAGGATACCCATTCTTACTAACCAAATACTTTTGGTCCTCCCACGTAATCACTAGATCACTAATATCAGTGTGAAAGACATTAATTTTAGCCACCATAGTTCCAGTAATGTAGACGTCATCTATCCAGAAAATATTCAACGAATTTTGAGCGGATTTGTACAATTGAAAGATCACATCTGGGCTATAGAGTATTGCCCAGCCTAAACAGTAGTCTGGGTAGGTTATCTCAGGGTATTCTTCGAAACTAACCCTCCATTTTGATCGGTACGTCCTTAAAACAGGTGCTAGATGTTTGAGAGGACATAGAATTGCGTTACTAACACCAAAAGGTGATAAATCAAAGTTCAAAAAGTTTTTTAATAACGGCATGTTAACAAAGATATCGTCATCGCATTTAAGGATATATTTTGCTTGAGGACAGTGGTATATGGCGTACTTCAAACAAGTTATGTGCTTGTAGGTTAGGTTTCTGTACGTGTCCAAAAAACTGCCTTGTATTAGATCGCCATACGAGTCATTCTCTCTTGTCAGTTCTTTCTGGATGGTTTCATTCTCTGTCCTGCCCATAACAAACAAGATTTTAGTCCATTCGTTTTTCTGTGCCCATGTCGACCTCAAAACCGTTCTCTTCCTGAAGTTTCCAGGTGATGAATGTATTAAAATGAGTAATAAAGTAGAATCATTACATCCGGTGTTCAGCCTATCGAATGTGAAGCTGTAATTGACCAAGGTGGTGTAATCGTTTGATGCCAGTAAGTGAGTGGGGTAAGTGTAGTTGTAAGATTCGGAATGGGGGATGAACATGAGGTTCTGGTGGAAGGGTTGCTCGACTGGCTGAATTGAAAACAGGTGGTACAGAAGAAAACATGACAGGATAAGGAAGAAGAGCAACGAGAGTTGATGGAATAGTCGTCGCTCATGCATGGTGGTTTAGCGTTACATCGTGCATCTTCGTTTCTGAAAAAAAGAAAAATATAATTTAGTAAAATAGTTACGAAGAACGTTTAAATTGAGGATTTTTTTTTTCACAAAATATAAAATTTTCAAAAAAAAAATCGCAAAAAAATCTTATAAACGTGTTTCACGAGTCGAAATATGCCACCCCTAACAATATTGCACTTATTTAAGACTTAGCCTGTATAAATATAGGGTTGTTGTGATTTTATCATCATCATCAACTTCTTACATTTTTCCGTAATTTTTAAAAAAACCTTTGCAAATTCGTATGACTTAAGTTCTAAATTTCAATTTTGTCAAGCTTTTGTTTGTACCAATATTAAAAAAACATAGTTAACAATACCAGCAACAAAAGCTATCTTTAATGCGATTTTTAAAAATAATGCTAGCTGTTAATTTTTCCTATAATTTTAAATAAATATACAGGGTATCCGAATTGTATTCGGTAAACGTCGACAGCATATTCTGCAGATAAAAATAAGTAAAAATGTTCATTTAGAAAATGTATGTCCTAAAATGGATAGTTTCGGAGATGCAGGGTGTGGAATACCCTTAGGGAATACCCAATAATTTCTAATATAACGTCGATATTTAGATGAAAATTGGCGTCTGGGAATTTTTTAATATGAGAATTTTGATTTTGATATCAATATGATTCCTACTTGTAGAGGACGCCACGTACATATTTTTTAACTCGTTTGAAGAGTAATAACTTTTCGTCTGTACCTGTATAAAACTATATATGTATATATACATATATATACATAGGCAGAAAGTAGTCTCGACTGACTAGTGAGAAAGAAAATCTAGGATCTAGTGGGGTTGCAGTCGGAAGGGTTTGACAAAGAATTTTGTCTTATATTATTATATACATATACTTATATAGATATATACAGGGTGGTCCGAACTGTATTCCGGAAACTTCGGCAGCATATTCTGCAGATAAAAATAAGTAAAAAAGTTCGTATAAATGTATGTCCTAAAATGCTTAGTTTCGGAGATACAGGGTGTAAAAGTTTCATTTTTATTTCGATTTTTTCTAAATAATTTCTGAATTAACGTCAATATTGGGATGAAAATTGGTGTCTGGGAGTTTTTTGGCATTATAAATTTGATTTTGATGCCGATATGAGTCCTATTTGTAGGGGGCGCCACCTACATGTGTTTTAACTGTTTTGAAGAGTAATAACTTTTTGTCCTTACCTGTATAAAACTACTGGGTCAAAAATTATGCATTTTTGTGAATTTTTACGTAAAAAATGTCTCTTGGTAAAAATCGCTACGAGCAACCGTTCTCAAGATATTTAGAATAGAAATAGTCACTGCATGTCATTATTGACAAAAAAATAAACACATCGAGTAGTTAGTTATTGGACTGAAATAATAAATTTGGGAAATATTTATTTTTTTTTAAATTAATCATAAATTTTTCTGCGAAAAAATGATGATAAAACAGTTTCTGATGAACTTTTGGCACAAAAACATTTCAAATTTATAATTTCAGTCTAATAACTATTTAGTCAACATGTTAATTTATGTCAATGATGACAGGTATTGATAATTTCGATTCCAAATATCTCGAGAACCATTACTCGTAGCGATTTTTACCAAGAGACCTATTTTACGTAAAAAATGTCGTAAATGTATATTTTCTTACTGAGCAGTTTTATACAGGTACAGACGAAAAGTTATTACTCTGCAAAACAGTTAAAACACATGCAGGTGCCCCTTACAAGTAGGAGTCATATTGACATCAAAATCAAATTTCTCATGTCAAAAAACTCCGACACTAATTTTCATTCAAATATTGACGTTACTTCAGAAATTATTTGGAAAAAATCGTAATAAAAAAGAAACTTCTACACCCTGTATCTCCGGAACCAAGTATTTTAGGACATACATTTATACGAACTTTTTTACTTATTTTTATCTGCAGAGCATGCTGCCGAAGTTTCCAGAATACAATTCGGACTACCCTGTATATACATTTGCGACGTTTTCTACCTAAAGAAGTTCTCTTGGTAAAAATTGCTATGAGTAATGATTCTCAAGATATTTGGAATCTAAATTATCAATACCTGGTCATTTCAGTGACATAAATTAAACATATTGACTAAATAGTTATTATACTGAAATCATAAATTTGAAATGTTTTTGTGCCAAAAGTTCAACAGAAACTGTTTTATCATAATGTTTTCGAAAAAAAATTATGATTAAAAAAATAAAAAGTTTCCAAATTTACCATTTCAAACAAGTAACTATCGAGCCAACATGTTTTTTTTGTCTATGATGACATGTATTGATAATTTCTATTCCAAATATCGAGAACGGTTGCTCGTAGTGATTTTTACCAAGAGGCATTTTTTTACGTAAAAAATGAGGGAAATGTATATTTTTTTACTCAGTAGTTTATAACAGGTACGAACGAAAGTTATTACTCTTTAAAACAGTTTAAATACATGTAGGTAGCGTCCCCTGTAAGTAGGAGCCATATTGACATCGAAATCAAATTTTTCATATCAAGAAACTCTCAGACACTAATTTTCATCCAAATATCGAGGTTAGTTCAGAAATTATTTGGAAAGAATCGAAAATAAAAATGTAATTATCCACCCTGTATCTTCGAAACTAAGCAATTTAGGGCATAAATTTATACGAACATATTTTTTTTTACTTATTTTTATCAGCAGAATACGCTGTCGAAGTTTCCCGAACCCGAATACAATTTGGACCACCCTGTATACATGTGTTTGAGTTAAGTTATTACATTTGTGTTTTAATTGCATTTTATCCACAAGGCTCCCTTAAAACACTTATATATTTTGTGTTTGGTAATTTTTTTACTACTATTTTATGATATACTGGGTGTTCCAATAAAAAAGTAAAGTTACAAATTCTTATTAACTTCCTGATCGTGTTTTCTTTATTTTTATTTCACTTTCTGACAGTTGAGGTAAAACTTTACATCTACATTTAAAGTTTTTTACTACCTCGAATAGCTAAGCCTGCAAGGATACCAGTAAATACAGGGTGGCGCCTCTCATACGCCGCGGAGGCTCCAAGGAGAACGACAGTTTGTATGAAATGAAATGTGAGCATAGGTAGGTTAATTCAGAGCACTTTTTAAAAATATAGAGTTCTACAGGGTGTCCCCAAAAAAAGTTACATATCAAAGTTGTGTTTTTGTAATGGAACACCCTATGTATTAATTGATTTTCTGATTCTGGGAGAAAAATAAAGGTGAGTTTTATAAGAGAAGTATATAACTAAAATGTAAGGTTTTTGACATATTTAACATTTTCTAGAAATAAAGAACAATTTTAAAATTACAATAAAAGCTACCTAAATTGGAACTTACCCGGTATAGCCTAATATGTAGTTAAATTAACCATTGTACTTTAAATCAAATTAAAACTTAATCTAAAAAGTTATACAGGGTGAGACAAAATTAATATTGAACATTGGCTACCTTTACAAGCATGTTACTCTTTTATTTTAAATAGAACACTCAGTATATTATTCCGATATTCAATGGAGAATTCATGTCTCTTCAAAATACTATTAAAGTTGCCTACCCCTCAAACAAATATTTTCCTAGATATTTTCATTTACACGATTTGAACTGAGTAAATCCTTATTATTTGATAAAATCTAGGTGGGTGTGATATATTAGTGCAACTTTAACAACTACTTATCATTTTGTGTCAGTTAAAACAAAAAAAATTCTCAGAAATTTGCCGAAAATGCAAACTTATCCTACATCAGAGAGAAATGATATGATTCCATTAGTTGGTGAATGCAGTGTGCATTCACCAATTAATAGAATACTTAAATGCTCCTGATTTTATCTAGTCTGTTTTTATGGGGATATGTTAAAGACAGTGTTTACAAAACTCGACCAACTATTGTCCACAACACGAGAGAAATTATTGTAGCTGCTTTTCGAGGTAGAACTCCACATACGCTTTCTAAAATGAAAAGATCCTCTTGAAAAGACAGTCATTTTATGCATTTTGTTTTTTATGCAACAGGAAAGGAAGCATTTTGAGTATTTGATTTCATTTTAGCTAATTTTTGTCACAATTATAGTTTTATATCTAGTTTATATCTAGTATTCTGTAATAATTAAAATATGTTTTAAACGTGTATCTTTTTATTACCGTTGAGTATTTTACACTACAATAGTTAATTTTTCTTAAATTAACAAAAGGTATATCACACAGCCCCTAGATTTTTTCAAATAATAAAGATCCACTGACGCAAAATCATAAAAATTAAAATATCTAGGACAATCTTTGTCTGAGGGGTAGGCAACCTTAATAATATTTTGAAGATATATAAATTCTCCATTGAACGCCGGAAAATATACTTGGTGTTCCATTTAAAATAAAGGAGTAACTTGCTTTTAAAAGTGACTAATGTTCCATATTAATTTTGTCTCACCCTGTATAACTTTTCGGGTCAAATTTCAATTTGGTTTAACATACAATTTTTACTGTAATTAAATATCAGACTATACATAGTCAACTAAAATTTAGGTAGCTGTTATCGAAATTTAAAATTTACTTTTCGTTTTCACAAAATGTAAAATATCTCAAAATTCTTAGATTTTGGGTATATGCTTCTTTAATAAAACTCACCTTTATTTTTTCCTAGAATCAGAAAATCAATTAATATATAGGGTGTTCCATTAGAAAAAACACAACTTTGATGTGTAACTTTTGTTGGGGAGACCCTGTATAACTCTATATATTTTTATAAAATGCTTTCAGTTAACCTACATATGCTGCCAAAATTTTATTTCGATATAAACTACCGTTCTCCTTGGAGCTTCGGTGGTGTATGAGAGGCGCCAACCTGTATCTTAAGACGATATACAAACACTTTAAGATCAGAGATAACAAGCATAATATGTATATATTTATAGATTAATATTTTTGTATCGGAAATATCGCGCAGAATGAATATTTAAGCAGTTTCTCTTTATTGGCCAGCATAAA